AGTCGGGGTGTATGTTAGCTCTGGGGGAGGTAGGAGTGCCGTAAACCCCTGTGCCGGGCCTCCTGCCCCCTGCCAGAGGAAAGCAGCACAGGAAAGGTGTACAGCTTGTGGAAAGGACCACACCTGGTATGTACAAACCTACTTCCTTGAAGCTGGGGGCTTCAGAGTCTGCTATTGAAGGCCAAGCTCCCACAACTCAAGCTAAAGGAGCTGCTTTAACAGAGTCATGCCAGCAGTACAAGGTTTTCTCAGGCTATTTTTATTAAGTAGCTGATGGTGGTGGCAATAGACATCACCTTCGCCAAGAAGCCGCCAGCTGCCCGTCCTGTTTTAGGCCACGTGCTTTGGAGCAGCACAAGTGGCATGCACAACCCAGAGTACTGAAAATCAAACACTTTCTAAAAGTCTGCCTTTCTTTTCTTAGCTTCTTCCTGTGTGTTTCTTCACCTTGATAGTAAAATCTAGTTGAACCCAGTTTCACTTCCGGGTTTTGGTAATTTCTGGTTTAATATTCATATCTGTAAATATCTACAGCCTTTTATGAAGGGGAGATCCCACCTTATGAACTAGAGAGAAGTCTGGCTCTACTAGCAGGATAAGCTCAGCCATCAGCAGCTGGGACCAAGGCCAAAGGCAGCTAGAACAATGTCAGCTACATCCTAGGCCGCTGGGATGAGCTTGGTGGATACTGCAGCTATACTTCTGAACAAATTAGCATACTTAGTCCTGGTACTGATCTATCTGGCATGGTCCAGTTGCATCTGTAATAGCAAACTCTCTGAGCCTTCAAAAGAGGGAGGTCAGGGTTGGTCACTAGCTGGTGTTAACTCTCTACTATGCCCAGGAACTGGGGCAATGTTAGTTGGTGTTGTCCAAAAGAATGCTGAGACCTTTCTGTGCCTTTAACATCATCACTAGTTTCAGTTGCTAGTGCCTTTCTGTGGTACTCCTAAGTTTATTAATCCAGATATAGCCAATGACAGCTGGAAATGTGGCTCTGATAATCAGCTCAAAAACTACAGTGCCCAGCAGAGCAGCCAGAATAACGTTATCTACTTATACATGGACAGAGATACTGGGTGGCTGGCTGGCTTTGTGATGAAATGGAGGTGCCCCAAAGGAGATGATAAAAATGGAGATGTTCTGTGCAAGGGTGCAGGAGATGAACTGTTGCTATAGCCATTGTGAGATGAGGGGGTTTAAAATGCAGATGCTAAAGGATACAGATACCCCAGTATGGGGTCCACCCATGTAGTAGTCTAACTGCTTCCTGCATCCACTGATTTCCTTGAATTCGAATAGGCATTGCTATTGCTTTTGAATTTGAAGCTGTTCCCTTCAGGTGTAACACCCTCTAACAAGCTCTGTGTGTGCATTTGAGCATGTGTGCATAGGTGCATGCAAGCACAGTGCTGGGTCAGTGAACTGGCAGGTTTTGAGTTAAGGAGCCTTAAGTACCCCTTGCTTCTCATTAGTGCTTTGCTAAGGGAAACCTGAAGGTATGTGAGAGAAGTTGCCGATGAACCAGGGCTTCTTGAAAGTGCCAGCTGGATGGGGAGTCTGCTGAGAAGGTCACTGGCTGAGCGAGGGGGGCTGGCTGGCTGAGCTGCTCGGCATATTTGCATGTCTGTTGCCTACAAGTTAGGGGCATTCTTGCCAAAAAATCCCTCAAAGCCTAAAAGTGGAAGTGAGTAAACTATTTGTATGTCAGATACAGTGTGGGTGAGCCGTGCTGTAGCCTGCACCCCTGGAAGATGGAGAGGGAATCATAGAATCATAGAATCGCTTTGGTTGGAAGAGACCTTTAAGATCATCAAGTCCAACCATTAACCTAACACTGCCATCCCACCACTAAACCATGTCCCTAAGCACCTCATCTATCCTTCTTTTAAATACTTCCAGGGATGAGGACTCGACCACTTCCCTGGGCAGCCCGTTCCAGAGCCTGACAACCCTTTCTGTGAAGAAGTTTTTCCTAATGTCTAGCCTAAACCTGCCCTGGCGCAACTTCAGATCATTTCCCCTCGTCCTATCGTCCATTACCACAGAGAAGAGGTTGACCCCCACCTTGCTACAGTCTCCTTTCAGGCAGTTGTAGAGGGCGATAAGGTCTCCCCTCAGCCTCCTCTTCTCCAGGCTGAACACCCCCAGTTCCCTCAGCCGCTCCCCATCAGCCTTGTGCTCCAGACCCCTCACCAGCTTTGTTGCTCTCCTCTGGACATCTTCCAGCAACGCAACGTCTTTCTTGTAGTGAGGGGCCCAAAACTGAACACAGTAATCCAGATGTGGCCTCACCAGCACTGAGGGGCACAATCACTTCCCTACTTCTGCTGGTCACACTATTCCTTATACAAGCCAGGATGCCATTGGCCACACTGCTGGCTCATATTCAGCTGGCTGTCAGTTCCCCGAATGGCAATACAGAACGGCACTTCTGCGTTCATGTCTGCCAATCTGGCACATCCCCTCTAATGGAGAGACATGCTCGCCCAGCCAAGTCCCCCGCAGCTGGGCAGCAAACCATGCACCGGGTAACAGCTGGGCCACCGCAGTTCCTTTCCCTCAGCTGTGGGAGCTGTATTGTGGCAGCAAGAAAAGAGCTATTGCTAGAATTTCCTGAGGATGGTTGTCTCACCCACAGATGATTATTCACAGCTTCTAAGTTGATGTAGTCTAGGCCATGAACCGCCAGCTTCTCCAGGAGAATGCTGTGGGAGACTGTGTCAAAGGCTTTTCTGAAGTCCAGGTAGACAACATCCACAGCCTTTCCCTCACCTACCAGGCGGGTCACCTGGTCATAGAAGGAAATCAGGTTGGTTAGGAAAGACCTGCCTTTCATGAACCCATGTTGGCTGGGCCTGATCCCCTGATTGTCCTCCATGTGCCTGGTGAGCACACTCAGGATGAACCACTCCATAATCTTTCCCAGAGCAGTTGTTGAGAGACATGTCCCCAGTAGACATTAAGACGGTCTTTGTGCCCCTGCTGAGGGCTGCCAGCAGAGCAGTGAGGAGCAGAGCTGAGCCCTGGACACCCACAGAGCGGTGACTGTCAGTGAAGAGTAGCAATGAAACATCAGCTGTTACCTGGGCCAGTTCCCCGAATGGCAATACAGAACGGCACTTCTGCGTTCATGTCTGCCAATCTGGCACATCCCCTCTAATGGAGAGACATGCTCGCCCAGCCAAGTCCCCCGCAGCTGGGCAGCAAACCATGCACCGGGTAACAGCTGGGCCACCGCAGTTCCTTTCCCTCAGCTGTGGGAGCTGTATTGTGGCAGCAAGAAAAGAGCTATTGCTAGAATTTCCTGAGGATGGTTGTCTCACCCACAGATGATTATTCACAGCTTCTAAGTTGATGTATTCTAAAACGATGTCGTTCCCCCCTCCCCGGAAAATTGTATTTGTTTAAAACTCTTTGTTGAAACACTTGCCTTGCAGGTAGGGAAATATTGCTCATGCTTTGTTTTGAAGGCAGCATAATTCAGCTTCTCAGACTTCTGGGCAAGAGCTTCAACTACTGCTATTCAACAAGGGGTTTATTTTCCGTTTTGCTTTTTACTGGGCATCCCTACAGTTTGAAGATGGACCTTGTCCCTGCCAAAGCACACCTGGCAAAAGAGTTATTCCTTTTTCCTCAGCTCTGGCTCTTGCACAGGCTAGACCAGCAGCTAAACCTGGTTCTTCTTGCCATCCAAAGTTCAGAATAAATCTACCAAGTGGTACCATATGCGCATCTTTCTCCAAATCTTGCTTTCTCATATCTCACCCTGCAGTGAGGGTGTGCTGGTTCATAATGGTACAGTGCAAGCTCAGCAGTGCACAGACATGTTTGCATGTGAAGGATTAGAGTCTTTTAGCCTCATTCAAATTGAGACATCTGCAGTTGGTGAAAGACTCTCCAGGGATTTCAGCAGGCTTTAGGGAGAAGTTGGTATTGTCAAAAGGTACAGAGCAGCGGATAAGGCACTTAAACAGATAACGGGAGATGTAAATTCTGGTTTTGGTTAGGATACTTACCAGCCTGGTCTCACTTTGCATGTCTTTTTCCCTATCTTGGGAATAATTAAATATGCCTTTCTGGTGAAAAACCTTGAGCTCTGTTGATAAAAAGTGGTAGATAACACTTGTGTGGTATTATCAATATTGTTTTGTGAGAGTTTTTAAAGAGCCCTTTGAAAAATCATCATTAACACAACAAAATATTACTTAAAAGGCAGCTGTTTCTCTCCAAACTTGATGAAAGGGGTAAGCAAATCCCCAGTCAGATCTTCTGCTGCTGTGGGTCATTGACTGGCAGATTCTGTGCGAGAATATAGGATGCATACATCTGCTTGTTTAAAAAATAAAACCTGCCCATCTTATAGAAGGTTATTTAATACCATATGCTTAAATGCTGTAACACTCATTTGTCCTCTACCTTGAGGAAATAGATAACTGCTACCTTGAGGAAATAGATAACTGAAAAAAAAGGTTGAAAATGGAAAGAAACAACAGAGGCATAAACATCTTTATCTAAACCAAAGTGTTCGGTTTAGACAAACTGACGCATCACCCTATGGCTGTTGGTAGATGGCAGCCTCTGCCCTTATGCAGAGGGCTCTGTAAAAGGTTACAGTTGCCTGCAGATGCTTTCTCATAGGCCTGCGTGCTCCCACCTGCTGATACCAAATCTCAGCAGGAGGTGAAAGAATTTGCCCATTTGTAGGAGTAAGTTTCAGAAGCAATTCTGAATGCAATCCAGCTGAGGGCTAATAATGAACAGGCTTTACTGCATTAATTGTGTATTACAACATCATGGGTTTAGGAGATACCTGCTGTTAGGGTATGTTTCCAGTTGGTAAGTTTAAGGAAAAGCCTTTTTGATATCTGGTTCGCTTGGGGTCTGACATTTCAGGCAGGCTGTACTGAGGCCAAGTGGTTTTTCTCTGGTGGCAGGATAAAACTGGGTGTGTTGCTGCTGTGTTTCTGGCTGGAGCTGCATGAGCCCACCCTGCCGATGACTCATCCCCGAGAGCGGCTCAGAATATCACACTCTGCATCGCTGCCTTCCTATTCTTATTACACCGATGCATTTGGGTCTCACACGGTGTTGGCATTTCATTTGCAAACCTCTCTTTTCCCATAAAGGAAAGATGGCTGCCAACCCTGCTTTATCCTGATGTTCAGCACTCAAAAAGTTTTTTTCCTAAGCCTTTCCTGTATGATTTCAGATGAAGATGTTTAATTTAAAAGCAGAACAACCAAACACATTAAGCACCTTAGAAAGAACATTTTTCAGAGTTTAACTGGTTTTCGGTAGCCTTTTTATTTCCTTCCAAAATTGGCTGCTTCTGCATACAATTCAGACTAAATTTTCCCTTTTCTCCCAGCAAGCACTGAATTAGGATCTTTAGGCCAGCAAAAAAGACCTGTGTTCCTTCCCTGACACCCTGTCTTTGAGTCCATGCTTGAGCATTTCAGCACCAGAGTTTACAAGTGAACAGAGTAAGATAAGCAGTGGAACAGACTCACAGGTCTCCTGTTTCTTTCTCCCTCACTCACAGAGAACCTGACTGCTCCATTAGATCAGCTGTGGACATACCTTGAAATTAAAGGACCGTGTTGTCACAAGACAAAATGGATATTAACAAATCTACCTCTTCCTAATATTTTTTTATTTTTGTTGCTTTTGTGAACCAGCTGTTCTAGGTGACACAAAAACGAAGATACCGACAGCTATGATTAAGGAAGACTCCAAATGCTGCAGTGGGTTTTGCAAAGACCAACTGATGGACTTGAAGGCGAGCAGGTCTGTGCAGTGGCACTTGCTCTGGTGACCAATGGGGAGCCACATCCATGAAAGGGGCTACGTGTCTGAGGCCTGTGCTGAAGCACACCCTTGTCATGTATTAGCGGTATGTTCAGGCTTAAAAAACTGTAGTAGAAAAGAGATGCGGTGAGGACTGATTGTCTTGATTTTGTTTTTCAAAGTAGGGCACCGTGCTAGAGAACACACCTCCTTCCATGTCCTAGTGTCCCACATTGACTCAGATTTATTGGAAACAGGTTTTATTTTGTTAAATGTAAGAATCATGAAGAAAACCCACTCCATTGTTCTTACCAATAAACATAAAGTCAGAATTGCTGCTCTCCATGTATATGTGTAACTAAGACAAACATGCTATTGCAGAATCTCAGCAGTCCGGTAGCAGAGCTAAGCTTTCCACTCCTGTTTACATTATGTGACTGCTCCTAGTCCACTTCAGTGTGAAGTCATCCAGCTTAGTTGAAACAACCACTCTGGCAGCAGCACAATGCTCTGTTCGATTGCTGCCCCTGTTTCAGAATGGACAGTGTAACTGTGCCTTCGGTTGCCAGGAACGTGCTTCAGAGCTGCACTGTTCATGAACACTAGGTAGTTCCATGGGATTTATGAACACCATATAGATCTATTGTAACTTTTTTGATAAATCTACTTACCCTTTCAAGAGTTCAATAAACACTCACAAACATATACAGGACAACATTGGCACGCTGGAGTCATACTTCTGTCCCACAGGGCGACACTGCAGATGACTCTCCGTATACAGAGGTACACAGAGATATTAGATAAAAGAGGAGCAGTAGAGTTGTCGGGTGCACATGCTGATTTCCAAGCGCAGCTCAAACTTAAGATCTTCAAGACCTGCCCTCTTCATTCGGGCTTCTGTATAAAAGTTGCACACTGCACACAGTCAGTGTTCTCTGTGGAGTCTCCCATGAAGGTAAATCCCTCCCCACTGACCAGCCTGATCCTGAGATGTGGCAACCCCACCGCTGCCAGCAGAAGTTGGGCTTGCTGCTGCCGCGAGCACTGCTTCACAAAATGGGGACTAAGACACATACATTAATTTTTCCTTTGGAGAGAGGGGTTGCTTGTAGCATTAAAAACGTTGTATGTAATAAAAGGTGTTAACTGTGTCTTCCGACATCAGCCATGTTGTGATGCTGGTGCCGTCCTTGTGACAACCATTAGCAGGAGGCCAGGCAGGGATGTGAAAGGCACCTACAACCTGAGCATCATGTGCTCTGTTTACAAGTGAGCATCAGTCCTTGCACTGAAGTGTTCAAACAATGAGCAGGGCAGACACTCCTTAGGAACCTCATCTCTGTGCTGAGGCTCTGGTTTCCAGGAAGCAATTCTTCCCTTAAGAATTATTTAATCAGAGAAAAATCTTCCGGTACTTAAAGACACAACTGCTGCTATATGGACCTTGGCATTACAAAGCAAGTAACCACAACATGGCATGGCTTCTGGAGGCTGAACATTTTCTGAAGTGATAGGAGAGAGGATGTGGAAGATTGTACGCAGCAGTGCTATACACAATACCTTTCAAAGTTCTAATCTTTGACATTTAATGGGGTACAAAAGGCATTTATTGTAGCCATTTTATCCTAATGCCCAAGGTATTCTTCATTAAATGCATTTCTCATTTATTTCCAATGTTGAGAAACTGCTCTAGGCAGTCTGCAAGTCCTGCTATTGCAAGTCATTTCTGCCTGGCTGTAGAGAGAAATATGATCAGTACAAAAAAAGAAGAAAAAAGGAAAAAGTAGTGTCTGTGCTCCACTTGCAAGAAGGAACATGTTAATTTGATTCGTTTCACGTGGATTTAATCAATGCAAATACAGATGAGGGAACAGTGCTAGTGAGAGTAATGGGTCATTTTTATTCCTTTTTCTTTGCTTGACCTACTGAATCGATCTACGCTGTTGCCAGGAAAATCAGAATCATGCTGACATGAACATCTGTCCTATATAGACAGAAGATAATTTATGTTGTAATATACTGCTTAAAATTCACAAACTTTCCACAAGCGGCTTATGTCTCACACAACTGCTTTATCAGGATAAAAAAAACCCAACATAGTGTGGCAGAAAATACGGGATTCCCTCGGGTACTTCCTTCCAGAAAGTCGAGAAGCCCGGGGAGAGGAGCGTGCAAAAGCCTGCCGGGTGTCAGGGACCTCCTTCGCTCGGGATGAGCACGTCTGAGGCGGTGACGAGCACCAAGACCCGCCGCGGTGCGGGCAGGACCGGGCCGGGCCG